CGACCTGTACCCCTGGAAGACAGAATGAGGTGTTTGGAGTAGGCACCGCAGTTTGAGTGGCACACGATGAGGATATTTGGGGTTTTTCACCCCCTGCCTGCACAATCTTAGGTGAAACTGAGGGAATTGCATCACCAGGTGGTGTTCCCCTCTCAGGCGGTTGCATCTTGAGCGACTTCTCACCTCTCGGTTTGGGTGCGGAGGGTTTGCGCACTTTTCTTGCCCTCTTTCGCCTATTCTTTTCTGGCCTAGGAGCCCGTGACTCGCCCTCCATTTGTGGAGGGTCAACAATGCCGTCCGAGGCATGTGACTCATTTAGTTCAGTGTGTACTGGAGCGTCCGGTAAGATGAACGACCCATCAAGGGATGGACTGTTAGCACGGGGACAGTCCGCTACAGAGTCCTCCTTTGCAATACTCAGGTAATTCATAATCAAGTCCACTTTAGAGTTGAGCGAGGCAAGCCCGACTAACGCCTTCTCAACCCCTGTGAACCTGGATGCCAGTGCCTTAAATTCAGCACAGATGATAGCCGGGCACTTCGCTTTCTTAGTGCAGCAATCAGCACATCTAAACAGGAGGTTTTCACTGGATGATAGCATAGTGTACTGATTTGCTCGGAGGCCGGTGCAACCTTTGTGATACCAGTGGAAGCAAACATCACACTGCATACCACCAGATGAATCCGTAATTGGTCTCCAACAGGCAGAATTGCCGCAAACTGCATTAGACTCATCAATCGAGGACCCAAAGATTTCATCCGCCTCGGTTTTTAGCAAAACGACCACGTTTAAAGTGGAAAACAGAGCAGAATTTAAAAACACGCATGGAACCGTAAAACGACCACAAAAAGGCAAAACAGAGTGTGAAACGGGACTAAAAAGGGGAACAACCGCAAAAGTTATAAGTAAGCGTCAAGGAGACACTATGTCCAGTAGCACCTCAATCGATCCAAGGTACCTTGGATCAGAGGAAATTTGACAATATATATATATATATATATATATATATATATATATATATATTCACAGTCTGTTAACAGACATTGTGCCATCAGAACCATGGCGGACGAAAAAATGGAAAAAACAGAAACACGAAATCCGATGAGAAAATGGAAAACGACTTTTTGGTTTTACACACGCCATTTTGAGTTAATTTTTAGTTTTTGTTTCGTGTTTTTTGTGTGCATTAAAGGGGGGATGAGATGGCAGAACAACATTGACGACATTGATGTCGGGTGCGAGCCATGACATTCAATGTTTTTAACCACTGATATTCAGCATTGCTTAGTCCCCAACCTGGAAGACGGACTGGTCCGACTGCCGCCAAACTTAGGTTGCCTTCTTCAGGCTCCTTCACCACCTCATTAGCTGTCCACAGCGGTACTTTTTCCAATCGCTCTATGGGAGTACAAATAGCGCTCGAAGTTGAAGGCGATGGGCTGACATGAGCAAAGTGTGCCCGAGCCAATGCATAGGATGTTGGAGAATAGCGTTCTGAAGACTGGCACTACTCGCTCCAAGCACTCGGTCTCGGACTTCTGCGTTGCTTATGTGGTGTTGCCACCACACGCGAGCAATCCTTCGTAAACAGCGATTGTAGAAGACTGACAGCCGCTTCATGTCTTCCGAGCGAATAGGACAAGTCTCACAGCCGTACAAGAGTACTGCACGGACGGAAGCATTGTACACCCTCTCTCTTGATCTTGGGACTGACATTACGACGAGGCCGTACGTGTCTCAGTTTGATGAAAGCATGGTGGGCCTTTGCAATCCGTTGTGAGACTTCATCGCCAACACCGCCTCCAGCCGTGATGCAACTACCTAGATAAGTTACCGGTAGCTCAGCCAGCTTGCATCAGTTGCATTTTTTCTCTCCTTTTTTTCTATGTACTGCGGCACAGTAGCTGAGGTGTTCCCCACCTCTAGCTAACGTGTATGATGATGAGGAGGAGGAAAGCAAGGGACTTGCTCCAGAACATGTCCAGCAATGGTGAGCGTGAGTTCAGGCATCTGCCAATCCTGGAGCAGCGTTGTACATTTTCCCGGAGTGAAGTATAAGCCGTGCTTAGATACCTCCATCGCTAAGCGCTTCAAAGCGCTCTGGACGGTTTGTGGATCATCCTCCAACAAGGCGATATCATCAACGTAGTCCAAATCCGTGACTCCGTCTCCAGGGAGGAGCTGAGCACTGCAGTTCTGGACACCTTCCAGGGCTCCTTGGATGACATCTTTGATGGTAAAATTGAAGGGGAAAGGTGTGATAGGGCAACTCTGGCGAACACCGCTGGTCACAGCAAACGAAGAAGAGAGCGTGCCGTTAGCTCTGACTTTGCCAGGCGTGTGGCTGCAAAGTTCCTTCAGAATGGTTATAAACTTGTCGGGCACACCTTCTCCAGTAAACAGTTCCACGACGCAGATCTACCTACTGAATTAAATGCTGTTCTGATGTCCAAGAACACTACGATTGTTGGACGCCGGTGGATATGACGGAGTTCAGGAAGTTGGCGAAGCGTGATATTTGGTCGATGCAGCCACGGCCTGGACGAAATCCGGCATGTTCTTCTCGGGAAATCTCCATTCCAGTCGTGAAAACCTGCGAAATAGGACCGATACGAGGATTTTAGATCCGATAGAGATCAATGAGATTCCGCGGTAGTTAAAGCAATCGTCGCGGCAGCCTTTCTCGTGAATCGGAGCAATGACCGCCGCTAGTGGACGGGTATCATTCCGTTAGCTTGTCATCCACCTGAACCTCACATCTCTGAATAAGGAAGTCACTGATCTACTGGTGCACTGCGCTACCAACATCACACATCCTCAGCTTGTGGAGCAGGACCTTATGGTTTACTTTATCGAAAGCTTATAAGCAGTTATCTGTTCAGTTTCTGATAGCTTTAGCCGGTCTGCAAGTGATACAATCAAGTTGAGTCCAGATAATTAACCAGTTGGGTAAGGTAAGCACTTCTTTCTCCGTAACAAAGCATTATTCTATCCACTAAACTACTCAGACCACAGTGAATGGTGCGCCATCGTACATGACCGTTTTATACATTAGGCAGCAGTTAGTCCACTTACTACTGTACACGGCTGGGAGATTTTGGTCAGGCCAGTATTTCAGTGGTTGCTGTTCGTCTTGTACAAAATGCCTGGCCAACAGCCCTGACGGGGCATCACACTTTTCATTTTGCTTGTAAGTGTATGCCCTGTAAACTTAGTGGTGGGCGTGCGAAACAACTATCCCAACGAATTTCTGTATACTTGGGTTGATGATACTTGATATAACTTCGTTCCAGTGGCGGCCAACAGCATTTCTCTTGCATGTCGAGAAGCTCATACACCTGTTGATCAATGAATATCATGAAGTTGGCCAATATTCGACTTCAAATAATACATCATTACAGTAGTCCGCCGAACTGAATAACGATAAGTACTGAAAGCATCTCATGTGAAGCCCACAGGAGTATCCACTGGTCGATCATTGCGCCACCATGTGGCCGCAACCAAAGTACATTTTCGTGGTTTGAAGGAATTGCAAAACAGCTATGGTTTGGATAAACTTAGTATTATCGGTGAAAAAGTTTGTCATGGCGTTTTAATTTTGTAGCCCCAAAAGTGGATATAAGTTCAAGTCACTATTTGACAGAGCATTTGGGACCCGTGAGCAAGTATTATCCAATTGGTAGATGAAGGAGGAAACGTGCTTTACCTGCCATCTCAATAACAACGGTACCTCACTGCATGCATCTTATTTTCAACCCCGAGGTTTTCAAATTCGAGGCATTCAGTAGCCTTTGTGTTGACACACGGTTGATATCAAATTCGGGCAATGTAATCTAGGTCTTTCTTACTGTATGCGAAAAAGGACGTATCAGTACATGATTGGCTGATCTTTGGCTCAGTGGACGACGAACAAGCGACAATCCAACAAAGACTGCCTGCATACATGTTGTGGGTTATGGCGCTTAATCCTCAATTATTTCGGGGAATACTCTACCTTGTGTCACCAACATCTGGCATAAAGTATGTTCCTCTCGGTGAGGAAGAGATCAAGTGTATGCCTTGCTCATCAGATGCTGCAGTCCACCAGATGTGTACCTACACAACGATGTTCGCCACCCATAAATGCTTCGGAACCATGCAATATCTGCAAAGTGCCCTACTTACTCCTTTCACTATAGTCCGAGGGTCCTAATGGAGCATCAGTCTGGTGAACTGGTGTGGAAGCATACTGATTTTCAGTGAAACATCGACTTATTAGTGGATACGCGCATGCGGGTATCACTGCTTTGAAGCGAACTGCGCCAAAGTTCGTGGTGCTGTTTGCCTTTGCCCAGCAATCGCTTTTGCACGTGCTCCCGCTTGCATCTTGCTCGAAAATAGCCCTGGGTACTTTTGCTTCAGCGTATGACAGTACTGTTTAAGCGATCACAAACTGTCAAGCTAGTAAACGTGCACCAGACATGAGATCTCGTGCGACTGCTTCGCTCTCCATCATCTGGCGACAATACTGAAATATGCTTCCCAAATTTACATTACTTATGAGTAGCAGGATTTAGTCGAAGTTTAATATATTCGAGCCAGCAGCGCACAAGCTCCATAGCACCTACGACAATCCGACAATGCACTAGTCGCGCTTCGTCCACTTAGGGCTCGTCACTAGTTGCCCATCCCGCGGTACTCTACTGGGGATCGAACCCAAGGACCTAGAGTCTAATGAGAGTAAGGCATTAACTCGGAGGCTGGCCACTGTCATGTGCAAAGGTAGGATAAGCGGTTGTACTATGTTACTTGTGAGCTGCTAGGACAAATACGTTACGAGTCACAAATTCATTTGGCAGAAGATAGAGTAACAAGTCCTTTCGCCACTTTAAGTTCATGGCGAATCAGCTTCAAATTTAGGGAAGTCGTGGAGCCCAAGTATTTAAAATTAACTGTTGCGGATTTAAGCTGCAACGTTCGTGTTTACTTTTTTCATTTCCTCTTGAGATACGGGTAGTACTCACTCTAGCAGTAACTCTTCGCCTGGTTGGATTGTTCTCAAAGCTCGAACGAGTATGACGTGTTGCAGCGCATCACCCCTCCCATTTTCTGTCGTGATGTCCACACTGGGTAGTGAGGATTTGTTAGGTAGCGGCAGTGCAATGATAGCCAAGTTAGGGTGAGCTCCTGATCGTTCGAGTAGGGTGCGTCCTCCGGTCTGTGAACTGCGTAGGAATGTCATCCATGGCGGAATGCACATCCACCTGCCAGACTGCATGTATGTGTTACTACGTCTGGAGGAAGCACGGTGAAGTCCGGAAAGCTGGGAAATTAAAAGGGAGAATCATTTCAGATGGAGAACGTTGTCATAAGGTGATGCATCTGCAAATCCATTTCGAAAATTTACTAACTGAGCAGGGGACTCTCGTCAGTCGTGATAGCTAACTAACGACTAAACTGAATTGAATCCTACCGTAGGCGAATTCGATCATAGAGGTTTTCGTTGACTTACTGCTGTTCGTACAATCTACAAGACGGCTACAACCGCCCAAATTCCTACGGACTTATACGGGCTGATATCCCCCAGGTGAACGGGTGGTCGCAACTTTGTGTAGTACTTGTATTACAACTGCACTGAAGCAAACGAACGTAGGGAATTGCACCCAGTTTCCTTTAGTAAACACCACCATTTACTCTAACCGTGCTAAGAGGATATTACCACCTTGACCGATAATAATATTATTAGAATGTCATCAATGTCAAGCAGGTCAGTTATTCAACTAAAGCTTATGTGAACGTTAAACAGTTTCTGCAAAACAGAAGAATGTTGTTATTGTCTTGTGTTTAGTGATGGAATGAAAACTTTTTAACATTACGAAATTTGCTCTAAATCTACACCAATTCTCGATAGCAAAGGTACATACTACTTGGGAGCCCATAGTTGCATGTTATAACAACAATCTGTTATCTTGCAGCGTTACTCATCATTGTGGAACCCGGTGGCAGGTCTCTGCTTCTGATGATGCCTCCTATGAACTTACATGGTTATCTGGTCTCAACGGGCATTATTTTATCTGGTTGGGTTGTAAAGTCCGAAAACAAACCTTTTGGACCATCGGAGAGGCAATATTTCTTAGGTATTGGTGAGAACACGACCACGGACCGAAACATGCGCCCTGTTCGATGGTTCTGATGCACACGACTCGGGGGACAGAGTGCTCATCCAGCTGCAGCACGGTCACCATGGGGTCCAAATCGATTGGCTCCTTTACAGTGAAAACAGCTGTGTTGTGTGGCGCAGGAACTTGGGCGGCTGACCCATGGTTTCCAAGATTTTTCGTCTCCAGTTCTGACAATGTATAATTGGCAAGATTGGCAGTATAGAGTTTGTCCTTTGTTTACATGAATTGCTATGTTATGCTTTGTAGTATTGATCCTTAATAACAATTATTTGAGATTCAAGTGAAATTTTCTCGCCTTGCTTTATCATGATTTTGCACTTCACATGACGCTAACCAAACGAGCCTCTGTCAGAAGCGAGGATACATGCTTCCATACTTTGAAATAGATAATGTCAGACTGTAGTCATTCTGATTGCACTCACTAGTGTTCTCTTGTTAAGTTTCTATTGTTTGTGCGCCGGAACTAATCATTCAGTTCTTTCAACTTTTTGGTGTATTGCACGCACAACCAAGTAATGGATAACCGTGCCCACAGAAACGTAGCCTAGCTCATGATGTCCGGGGAACACGCATTTAGGATGATGATGTTGCCAGTACAGTGTAGAATGCTAGATGTAAAGAACTCATTCAAAACTAGCACCAGCGTTGTCAGTTTTGGCAAAATTATTGTTGCAGGATTTGGGCAAAGTGAGCACTTTAACCGCTCGGTCGATGACCCAACTCCTTTGCAAAGTGCACCCGGCCGATTCAGCTCACACAGCGAACCGTCAGTCTGCGTCCACAGAATATTTCCGGGACTCGTGAGACTGTCATTGTTTATTGGCTTCGTGTCGCCGTGTACTCAGTTTCTTTAACATCTTTGATATACAAAAGAAATGGCGGAATGAACATTACTTGACACGAATCGAGTAGTCCACCTAGCTAAACATTATCTCACATTGTGGTTGTTTACACCAGTGGTATTGCATTTCTGATATTTAGCCAAACTTGACGATAGTACATCCCAATCACATTATGTGCTATAGTCTGTTTTAGTCGGAAGACGAAACAACGCAAACCAAACAGTGTGCTCATGTGTGGTGAAAACTGTTTATCGTCAGTTACGCTTTTAGGTGCCGTGCGTTGCGACGTTCTGCTACTTCTGCCCGAGTATAAATTATTTAGATCACAGAAGCACTGCACGCAGATGGCGTACGCACATCGCGTTTCGGTACACACACATAAACATTCCTGCAATATTAACCCACTACCAATTTTCTTTTAGTTTAGCTGGGAAGTACAGCATATGTTTCATCAGCGACGGCGAATTGGAGACATCTTACCTAACAGTTCGTAAAGTAGCCGCAATGCCTAACAGGCTGAGTGTTAACACTTACTTTATTAGAAGATAGCGGCTTTTGGTGAACAAACATTTATGCTACTATACATGGCACCGAAACTTCGCTTTCTGCTACAGGGTAACCTCAGGGCCAGCAAATCTGTCACTGTTGAGAATGAGGATCACAGTTGAGGCACTTTCTTAGTAGTATTGCACTCAGCCTTCAGTGGTGCTCGGTTAACTTGGAGGCCATTTCTAATTTAGATGTCCGGTGCACGACTTCATCCATAAACTGGTCAGTGGTGTTGGGCAGGGCTAACTTTTGATGACCCTACTGATGGACATTAGAGGAGTCTAACGTATATCATCTGACCGAGCAAGCTTAGCAAGTGAAAGTTATCGCATGCAAATAGACTGGACTGTTCATAATATCCATCAGGTAGGGCATTCGTCACGTTGCGCCTGCCACAGACATAGCACTTTGACACCGACAGTGAAAGCATTATTGAAATATTTTAGTGCACAGGTATTGCAAGATAAAACTGGAGAGTAGTTGACCTAAGTGACCAGTAAATATCGCATGTTCGCTACTTGGCGTGTGCTAGCGGAGCGTCACAAGAACCGCAGATGGACAGTCGCTGTGTTCTTCAATGCTAAATTCACGTTCAACTCGGCCGGTTACCCTGTGCTGTTCGAGAGACCCACAAAACCTGTTCTCGTGAAACTAACCACCATGGCACGTACTCTGTACTCGAATGCAATGAAATAATCCAGGATTTAAACCACTTTTCTAAATGAAGGTCACCGTGTTTTCGTACTCTTCTACTTCTGTTCAACCCAACGTAGACTACATCATGAAATACTACTGAAGCTTCTCCATGCGTGTGCATTAGCCCTGCTCCAGTTAGATGAGTTTCGTTGTATTACATGGAATACCTTTTTCTGGTACATAGCGCTTATACGGTACTATTAACCTTTAGCAAATGCTTTTCAGTGATCCACCAATTGCGTGCATTTTGAACCTTCAAAGTATATCTTGCTGTTGTTGCGACGCTAGCCACGTGACAGCCATCCGACTCAACTATGAACGTTTGCAGTTATCCGCGATAGAAGAAATGAACGCTTTGCCGTTGAAGATACTTTTGTTAGTATGAAGTTTAGTGTTGACCTTAAGACCACGTATACGGGATACGAGTAGATACTCCTTATATTACCGTGCGGTTTGGCTCTATCTGTTCCACCATCTCAGATGAGTTGGAACTTTGTTCATGATTGTCTGTGAAACAGTCACTGTGTCGGATAGCATTGGGACGTCCGTAACTGTATTGATGACAACAAAACAGTTAATTCAACTCACGCGAGCCCTTACCACCCACACGCATTAACCGACAAATGACAACAGTTTGTTTCTAGCGGTGGCAAAAATTACTTGTCAATGATTTTTTGAATAGGAAATCCAGTCGGCATCATTTTTGATACTAGTGTCATCTTGACGTGGCCTGACATTGGTTAGAGATACCGCAAGCGAAGGCTGGCTATCAGCTCAAATGGCATGCTTGCAGTCATATTCTAGTCACACATTTGGTAAACGGGTGAAAAATGTTGTGGTGTTTGTCAAAAAACATAGCTTACGACGCGTAACAGTAAACCAGGCTTTGAAGCTGGCTTGTCGGTGCCCCCCTCCCAACTTCCCAGGACGGCCCTACGTTGTCCTTAAGTTGTGGATGCCATATTGCGGCGAGGACGATGTGGGAGGGGGGCAGAACGTGCATTGCCACAACAATGTTTAACTGACCACTTACAGACCCGTAGAGAAATGGACCGTGTTTCCTTCCCCCCAGGCACCGCGGATGAGGATTTGTGAAATTGTCCATACCATGTGCTTACGAGCTTGAGCTTTGGAAAATTCCCTCTAAGTTTTCAGCCCGTATCCCTGCTTTGCTATATCCGATTCTGGCCAGCGAGGGGTCGTTCGAATGCTTTCCTGTGGCTGCATTACTCGGCCCGTGTTCAGTCCTGTGAGCTTCGGTAACGGTGTATTTGTCTGATTCACGGAGTTCTCCACAAATACTTCCCCCACTGTACTGGGCCCAGGCTCGTTACCAGATGCCGCCGGTGATCCAATGTCGGCTCGATCCGCAAGGCTCGCAATGCCTTGTCCCAGCTCATCCATTGCGTTCGTTAGTATTTCTCTACCATCCTGTTTTTGTTGTCTTCCCGGTACAAAAGTAGTCTTTGGCTTCCGTCGCCCTACAATAGTCCTGCTCCGTCAAATAACACGTTGGTTCCCCCAATCTATCCCCCTTCTTACTCCTTGTAAATAAACGCTTATATTTCCTGTTTCTATGCCTGCAAGCAGAATGTCTCATAGAATGGTCGGGATTACAATCACCAAACTAGACACAACATTGTCAATACGGCAAAGCGTATCAGTGAACGCATCCCGAAGCCCACAAGAGCCTAGAATTCATCGCTCAACTATCGTTTTTGTGGTAATAATGAACTTGTTATTGGGAGTGAATTAGCTGGTGAACTTCAAAAATGCTTTTGATAGGCTTGGTGACCTAAAATTGTTGATCCAAAACGCTTCTCCAATAGACCAGGGATTATTCCAAGATGTCTTGAGAACAACCGGTAAATGTATGTGCTGAAAGATGTTTCACTATTTATCTCAACGATTCCTAATTGTGAGCACTCAAGTCACTATGGAGACGTCGCCAAGCAATTGCATTAAATGGTCGTACATAAGGCGTTCTAAATGCTACCTTCCAGATCGGTCTCAAGCATAATCCAAGGTACCGAATGAGTGATTACAACAGTGTAGCGGGACATTCAACTTGTGCGGTTTTGGCAGTATTGTAATAGTAAAATTGGCCTGTGGCTTTGAGTATTTCTCTCTGACTTCATCATGCTTGGGACACCAGTTACAAAGCTAAGCACTGAATATTCGAACCCGTCAAATTTGTTTCACGGTAACGAGCCTTGATTTTAACATTGTATCTTGTTTTCACATTAATAACGTGAAGTTCAGAATACAGTACTCAACACAATAACATTGTGTGGTGATGAAGTTTATATGGGTAATGCGCCTAGTAAGCGTACTTCGATTGGATTGGCCCATTGGTTCGATCCATTCGGATTAAGTACACAGCATAGTTATCATACCGGGCATACCACTGCAGTGCAGTGGAACTCTACGTCGGCAATGAATTGAAAGAATTTCCCTCAGCAAAAGCTTTTATCCTAGTCTGTCTGCTATGTATTCAATGAGGATAAGCTGAAATCGCATTTTATCCAAGTTTTACGCCCAAACATGCCACAAAAAAACGACGCCAAAAGTGACTAACGTTACCCATATATTTTTGGTGATGGATTTATGAGCATACATTATCAAAGAAGACAGCAATTTTAGCTAACTGGAACTATTTTACAACTGATAATCACTTACCGGCGTTCAACCGATCGCATATGGGCCTCTGTTCAATGCTAGAGGGGAAGTGTTCCACGTTCGGTTGGGTCTGACTGGTGTTCCCGAGCTAAAATGTTTTTAAAAACTAGAGATTAAGGGGGATGCAAAATCTCCAGTACAGCAAATAGTTTGTGCTGTTCTCATTCATCAGACAAAATCGCATGAAATGTAGTTTACTGTTTTATGAACTTTGAAATCTGGCACGCATTCTTCGTGCAAGAGAAAACTGTGTTCTAACTCCGGTCGTATTAAAAGGGCTGCTCGATGAGGTGAACCTCGCTATTCTACCACAAGCGCTTCTTTCTGCGTTTACTCCCTGGGTTCGGGAGTTGTTCGGAATTCTTAGGAACGCAAACAAGTTTTTGGTCATTACTTTGCCTCGCTGGAGTCCGCTACAGAATAGTGAGCTAGAAAATGAACACATTCAGTACTGTCACCGATGCAGGATGTAGGCAGTATGTTGCAGTTTTAAGTCCGTGTGTAACATGTATTATCCATGCTCGCTGGCCCCTATTTAACCATATTTACAATCGACTTGGCGGTGTATTGCACCATTTGAATTTCATCTTATATCTCGTTTCGGCCAGAAGGCCACTCAAAGCAGTCAAACGGTGTACTCCCAACTTCTAAGCAGGTGGATTGCTGCTTGTTATCGCACGCACATCTCGGTTAGCTGACCAATGCGTACTCAATTTTGTTGACATACTTCTCGCTTGTTTCGCTATTTTCATCTCGACCATCCGCCGGACCCGTATAATGGTAGACTTATCACCCCTTATATGTCGTTGTTCCATTTGTTCCTACTCTATTGAGAAGTGCTATCCACACCTAAATTGTCCCCACCTATACCTGCTTCAACATTTGAAGTTCAAACTTGTTCGAACTGAGTTCACCCGGCTCGAAACACAGCCAGCTGCTTTATAAGTCCCAAGTTGAGCCATTTGATTCAAGGTGCTTACATTGTTAACTGTTAGCACTGACATGACATAAACACTTGATTCGGGGAACTTTGTTGCAGTACAGCTTGAGCTACCCACAAGTTAGCTGAAACGAGCTATTGGAAATTCTTGAAGAGATGAATATTCCATGTACAAGTTAAACTTTTGTGATTTCCCCACTTAAAGTGTTAACATCTTGCCATTCTTCAGGTTGACCTATGAACGAATCGAACCAATGTAAAATGTCTTATATCTTTCGCACGAGTCTGAACGTTTATTTACGTATTTAACTATGGCTCGCTAGGCCCATCGCAACCAGTACACAACACATGTCCACGCGGACAGTTTAACTTATCAACAGTCCCTGGAAAAAGTTTCTGGAAAACAACAAACTACTGTATAAGAATGTCAACAGTCTTCGAAAAGTGAAGCATGGCATCCCACCACTTTTCACAACAGGCTGTAGGGTACCAAGCGTCGAGGAAGCAGCCAACACCCTGCGGTTACAATGCGGACCAGGGTTCAAACTCTCAAACCCTACCTGTCACACACCTTCAATCACATTACCGGCTCCAGGGTTTACACATGTACTTATCAACCCAGCAACTGTGCTAAGGAAGTGACTGTCATTGCACAATCATAGGTTTTCGAAGGCCGAAACATCCGGCCGAAAGCTCTGAAGGCTGCGTCCACCAAGCTAGCCGAGTCACCGCCACAATTCTTCCAAAGATGCTTTGATGAATGGCTAGTCCAAACTAGGTAAAAGCATTGCATTATCACTCTAATTTTTGAAGGCACTAACCATTCAGACCTTGCAAACTATTGCCCAATGAATCTCCTCCCCGTGCTAGCGAAGGTGATGGAAGCGGTCATCGCTGTGATTCTAATGAACTACCTTGAAAAACGCAACCTCGGCACCGGAGCAGCATGGCTTCCGTCAACACCGGTTATACACGACCAAACTGTTGATTGCAAGAGGTAGTTGGACGGAACTGGCTGATGGTGGGCTCGGAGTGGACGTCATCTATCTGGACTTCTCCAAAGCTTTCGACCGCCTGGATCATCGCATCCCACTTTACAGGCTACATAGATATGGAATCAGAGATCATGTTCTCTGTTTGATTGACAACTTTCTTCAACAATGGAAGCTTCAAGTGCTTGTTAGTGGATCAATCTCTAACCCGACTGAGGTGGAATATGGCGTTCCACAAGAGTTTTTCATCGAGGATGGGGCTGCACCTACCACATTATCACTTTGCGTCAATTTTTGGAGCACCGCCATGTTTATTGGCGACACAGTTGTCGTGTTTCTTTACATAAAATGTGCCTTCGACTCAGTCGATCGATGTGTCTTTTGGGACTGTCTGCTGAGGAAAGGTGTGCCTGAGAAATACGCAAACATTATCAAACCGATGTACGCACATAGTTCGGGCAGTGAGGATTTCTGTTAAACTGTCCCGGCCCTTCAGTATCACCAGCGGTGTGAGACAAGTTTGCCCGTTGTCACCTTTCCGTTTTAACATCGAATTTGACGAAGTCATGGAAATAGCGTTCGTTGGACACGACCTAGAAGGTGTGGAGCTACTTCCTGATGAGTGACGTCTTGACTTAGAGTACGTGGACGATATTGTCCTAATCTGTGACAACTCCCAAAGGTGCCAAGCAGCACTGGACCAATTAGCATTGGCTGTCAATCGTTTTGAGCTATACTTTGCTCTATCAAAATCAAAATACTTTTCCAAGATTGACAGGGACCCACCTTGCACCATTGTTTGGTGGTGATCAGTTAGAAGTCGTTCATGAATCCAAGTACCTGGACAACTATACTAGCTCCCTTGGTATCGAAAAGGTGGTTACGAACCGTTTAGCAAAAGCTCGAGGTGCTTTTGCCAATCTCCGCCACCTGCGGCGTAGATGCGACATCACTCTCACCCTGAAGGGTAGAGTTTATAATGCAGCCGTCCGTTTAACCCTCCTGTACAGTTGTGAAACCTGTCCCATCAGGTCAATAGATATAAAATGGCTAGCCACATTCGATCATCACTACCTTCGCTGCTTAGCTCATGTCTGGTGGGAGCACCACGTCAGCGATGAGCGTGTTCGGCGCCATGTATTTGGTTCAGGAGGAGCGAGTGAACCGATCAGCACCATTATAACACGCACCACGCTCCGATGGCTTGGCCACATGTTGTCCATGCCAACACACCGATTCCCAAGACGTGTGTTGTTTGCGCGCCGGGCTTGCGGTTGAAGGAGTAGAAGGGGAGGCGAAGCGATGACTTGCTCATGAGAAATAAAAGCCCTTAATTCGAAGTTGGCGTCGATTGGTGCATCCCGACTGCCTGGCTGGGGTCCTAAGGACGATGAACACGTTTGGTTGGACACAATTGCTGACATGGCTAGGAGCCGACCCAAGTGGTGTTTGTGTTGTGAGTTCCTTTGTCCATCCCCTTCAATCCCGATATCATCCATAACGCATAATATCATATTTAACCGTATTACTTGCCTGGAATGATTTTTATGGTCTAATTGTTAGTCACTTATCTTTTTGTATTGCAACATATTAGCTGAGTTATGTTTCTCACCCACAGCTAACGTGTATTGATGATGATGTTTATGTTCCGCAATGCTCGGTACTGGGTCCGTGCTTATTCTGAGTGTTTATCAACGACCTACAAGTTCCTGCTTTCCGCCGGCAACATCGAGTATGACGAGTAATTAATAACAAAGAAGATCACGATCTACTCTAAGATTACTTGAAGTACATCTATGGATGGTCAACGACGGACCTACGCCAGTTGAGCGCCGCTAAGTGCAAGGCGATCCACCTACGTCACCAGCAGCTGAGCGTTTACAAGCTTAGAGACCGCACCTTGCGGAACTTTCAGGAGCGTGACTTGATTGTATTGATATAAAACGAGCTCGGATGCTCGAAACAAGCAGTAGAGGCATTCAGAACCGGCAATCAGCACTTTGGCCTTCTTCGCAGAGCACTCGGTCGATTTGAGCCATCAATCTTCACCCAAATGCTTAACGTCTATGTGCAACCATATGTTTAATACAATTCAAGTTTCGCAACCGTGACAAAAACAGAATCAAGTTAATCTCGAGACTCCTCAACGGAGGGCAACCAAGAACGTCAGCAGTTTCTTTCATCCGCTTTATCAGCTTAGACTGAAATCTCTAAGAATGTACAGTAGTCGATATCGGCGTTTGCCTGGGGGATCTCATAATAGTTTACCAGATTCTGAAGAACCCAAACCACATTTGCCGCCCACTGCTGGAACTGAACCACAACACTAACCTAAGAAGTCATTCACTGAAACTGATAATATGTGGTGGACTAAAGGTAGACAATACTGTAGACAATACTGTGTTGCAAGGATGCGAAACAGCAACCAGCCAACACCACGCCGTAATGATTCCCCAAAAGAAAGGAACACTTTAGACCCACAGTTGTATGCGTACGAAGAATGGACGCATAAGCAGTGCATACCACACAACTACTAGACACTTAATGAAACCCGAACCATGCCATCTCCAACCGGGATGATGAACATCGGTGCATGCACTGTTTGTCGGAACGGATACACTTAGTATTGTTTATGCACTGCACTTCGGCTTTTACACTGGTACCGCAATCGACCAGGTTGCATCAAGCGAATCCCCCGGCCGGGTCCGTTTGGAAAAGGGGACGTGAGGACGTCGTCAGACGGCTTTGAGGATGTGGCGGAGGCGGTTGGGATGAGGACCCCCGGGCGGAACTGGTGGCCTGCGGCACCTCCGCAAGTACAGGGCGAAGGCATTCCTGGAGGCGACGCGAAGAGACGCATTCAAGTTGGAGTGGGTCGCCGCGGAGGATGCGTTGGTGTTCGGATTGGACAGCCCGGCCAACGGCCTGGAAGCGATGCAGCGTGGCTTGGAGTGGGGGCGGATCACATCGTGTTTGCAGTCCACATCAGCAGCTTGTTGGGCCGGGCCTTGCCGGGAATGGACGAAGCGTCAAAACAGCAACTATTGGTAGATCGGTTCATGGCTGGTCTCCCAAAGCCAATCGCGGAACGCGTCCGGATTTTGAACGCCAGTCGGTGTATGCGGCTGGAGGAGTGGACGCAGATTACTTGAGAGC